GAATTCTGCACAAAGGAAGCTAGACAAAGGGTTGTATGAATGAGCCAGAAGTCTATTTGAATTGAAGAAAAATAGCTTACTGGATTTGGCAAGAGGGGACTCTGTGTTGGCTGACCCCTAGGAAAGGATAGGGATGCAGGGAAATGAGCCATGGGAAGGAGGTTGCATTCTGTATACTTGTGAGCTGCTGCCTAGTTCCTTTAAGTTTCTTTCAATTAAAAGATCTTGAGCTGAAACACTTGGACTGATGTTTTGCCAGCAGTGGGAAATGGTTGTGGAGGCAGATCCTGAAACTTAGAACTATGGTTATTTGTCAACCTGTGAGTAAATAGGGTAGAGGTTTATATCGGGGCACGTTCTGTCTGTGTGTTTGGTTGAGTGTGTCTGTCTAGCTCTTAGTTTGTGTTTCTCACTCTTTTTGTGCCTCATGCAGGCCCTGCCACGAATTTTCTCTGACCCCTTGGGGCAATTCCCACATGAAGCTTTGATGTGTGTGCCCAGAGCTTGATTGACAAGGAAGTTCTGGTGGCGGCAGCAGGGAAACGAAAAGGGCAGAGCTTTGAACTAAAGGGCTTTGAGCTCTGAGATGCTGTGCTTACTTATCTCCTTCAGAATGTTAATTATTTACCAAGATAATTGGTCGGGAGGGGAAAAAAAGAGAGGGGAGGTTATTAAAAAATTCCAACACTAACACGCTACAAAAACCTCATTTTCCAACTTGCAGCTGGCATGAAAAGGATGTTGTGTGTAAAAAGGCTCGAGTGTATGTGTGTTGGGGGGGGCTTTTTAAGGCACCCGTTTCCTAAATAGAGAGATCCCTTCAGACGAATGCAGCGGAAACATCAAAGCTCTCACAAGAGTTTTCTCTGGGGTTTCTAAACCGTGTCTGGTACTTTTTAATTAAAAAAGTTTATGGAGAGCTGTCTTTGTGACTGAAGCAGGCAACCTTAGGCCCTGTTGATTGAGGAATGAAATGTTAAAAGACCTAATAAATAGTGATTTCTGCTAAAATGTCCATTCAAGGATGTGAGGATGCCTGGCCACTTTAGCAGGATCTGAGACTTAGAGTAGACTGATGAATGTCTCTTACTTCAGCCTAACATGATGTAGGCCATACTGTATGTGAAAGTTTCCTACAGCCTTTGGATTAGTGTAAAAAAAAATTATAATACCCCTACGCATTTGAAGTTTGTAGTCAGGGAGACAGGTGAAGCCGTTTCACTTTGCCTCCAATTAATACAGGTTTATTGGTCTCTAGATTAGGTAGTAATCCACAGACTCCTTCATGAAGATCAGGGTCCTTCTGGTAACTGCTGTGCTGGATCAGGTCCAAGGACTGTCGTTCCAGTATCCTGACTGCTGATGGTGGCAATAGAGGTTCAAGAAAACTCAGAAGCCAGCAGCCTGCCTGGCACAATTCTGTCGTGTGCATTAATGATACGAAGAGGGGCAGTAGCTTGCTTTTATCTGTCAATTTGTTTATTGGATCAAGGTGATAAATGTAGTGTTATTGTTTTGCCAGGGTAAACGTAGACCATTAATCAACATTTTAAGTACAGTTTCTGGCTATGACAGTACTTACCTCTTTTGCACTATGATGATTTGGTTTCTTTACCTGTCTCTTAGTATAAGGCCTTCTGAAAGCTTAAAATAATAGTTTTTCTTTATGTAGTATTATACTGACATGTTAATTCCAGTCGTAAGTATGATATTTTTCTTTTGGAATCCTTACTGGTACAGCTGGTTACACCATATTGCATTGATCTTCAGCATATCACCTTCAAACCCTTTTAGAAATAAAGCCTGTGCTTGCAGCAGTGTCTGTTTTTAGCACAAAGCTTAATAATTTTAAATCTCACTCTGCAGTCCCCTGAGAACACTCGGATGTACCATCTGGACATGGTGATGTTGTGCTTTTTAATGTAGCACTTAGTTTGAGCAGTTTTTAATACTGCTTCAGTTCCTTTGAGGGTGTGGTGTCATAGTATAATCACTGTAAGGGGCAGAGCAAACTTCATAGGTAGGTACCTTCCTCACTTACCTGCAATTGCTTTTGTGATCCCTCGGTTGAACTGGTGAGACTGCAAGTCCAGTTTTACAGTTTCTTTGGTGCTCAAAAGATAATTAAGGGACTGATGCATCTGACATACGGGCAGAGGCAGAGAGGTTGGGGCCGCTGAGCCTGGAAAAGAGGAGCCTCGGGGAGGGTCTCGTCAATGTGCATAATAAACGTGATGAGAAACAGCAAGGAAGATGGGCCAGGCTTTTCTCAGTGGTGCCCAATAAAAGGGCAGGAGGAAATGGACATGAATTACAGGAACTTCCACTGAAATAAAAGGGGAAAAAACCCAAACCAATCCCACTGAAAGGATGATCTAGCACTGGGACAGGTTGCCTGAGCAGGTTGTGGAGTCTGTCCTTGTTGATATTCAGAACCCAACAGTGGTTCAGTGGTGGCGATGACGTTGAAGGATATTTCTACCCTTTTAGCTGCTCAGTCTTACCCACCTTGTAGCTTGTTACAGATCAAGAACAAGTTACTCTTCTCCAAGCCTCCCTGATGATGAAACTGATCCAAAGAAGTCATTGAAATTCTCTTCTTTAATTGGATTCCTTAATCGCAGTAATTGGTGGCCCAAGCGATTATTTGAAGGACTTCCTTTATTTGAACTTCGTACTGTAACTTTTTGTTGTTTTAATCCTTGAATTGTATTTTAGCTCTCCGAATTTCATTCTGCTGCTTCATTCCTTGTTATTGACCTCAGAAGTATTAACTACCAAAGTTGAAAGATCTTTGTTATTTTTTTAATTATGGCTAAATGACAGCATTTGCTAGTTTGCTTTAATGCTTGCTTCCCTGCTTGCTTTTTTTAGTTAGGGCTGCACAGCATTTCTAAGACTCCATTTTTCCAAGTAATGTTTATTCAACAGCTGAGGATTGAATAGCTAAGGGTTTTACTTCAATTTCCTCTGGCTTCCATGTCTTTAATCAGCATGCTTAATTTTCTTAACTCTCTCTTTATAAAATGTGGTGTTTGTGTTAATCATTCATACCTTTTCATTTCTTATGGTGTTGAATTTTATTACATTGTGATCAGTGCTCTTATGGGCTTGAATCTGATCCTATATATTACTTAGGGTTAGTTGGAAATAATTTCTTTTGTGTTTACAGTTACTTGTTCAGTAGGTCATCATTTGAGCTACTGACAAATTACTTCTCAACAGTATAATGTTGTTTAATGTGGTAGTATGATGAACACAATTCATACTTTGTATTGAGTTTTATTCAGTATATATTTATGCAGAGGTAGTTGAATAAAGCTGTTTAGCCATGACGTAAGAGACTGATTGTAAAGCAGTGAAAGGAGAAGACAGTGAGAATGGCCGTTGTCAACATAAGTTGTCAGAGGCTTCATCGTTTTGATCTGTTGCTATTTAAAATTGGAGAAAAACAAATGAAGTGCAACAAGCTGGATACTATTTGGTGCATTACATTTGAGTAACTTGAGAGACATCGGTCGCCAGCTCATTCTGCTTGTGTGGTGGGTGCACACCGTCAAAGGGGGGAAACTGAAGTGTGAAGCAGTGTCGTAAACTTACAAACAGGTTAAATTAGGAACCAGGCCTGTTGACCAGAGTTGTAGATGTTTCCACTTTTTTCCCTGGCTCTCTGTCTCTCACTGTCTCACTCTTCCCCCCCTCCTGCCTGCAGAGAATCTCTCTTCTCTATGGAGTGGTAGTTAACAGCAGAGTGGCAGAAGCAGACTCTGGCTGTATTGCACTTCTGAGTTGCAGAAGGAAGAGTTTGTTCTCTTAGATTATAAGCTAATGGGAACTCTGTTCACTGTGTTTTTCGTGTATGTGTTTGACCAGAAATTGCTTGTTGTTGTGGAGCACTGAACAGGTAGGTGAACAGATAAGATCCAAGGTAGTGTGGTGCACGCCTTTCTGGTGCCACTCCCGGTGAGACAGGCCGTGTCTCCCACCTTTACACTGATGTGGTTGGCCAGGGCACCGTGGCACTACCCTTTTATCATAGGTCTTTTTATACGGAGACAGTACTTATGAGATCACAGACTAAATAAACTTACATACTTTAACTTACTTTCACTTGATTCGATGCCTCATGACCGATATGTGTTGGGGTTTTTTTAAGGTGTGCCACACAGTGTAATTAAAGCACACACTAAATGAATTATGATTTGGCTGACTGACACCTCAAATAATAGTCAGAGAGGAACTGTTGGAAAACATAAATGACTTATGTGTGTGTTTTGTTGGAATGAGTTCTGGCCACACTCTGTTCGTTACTTTTGTCTGGTTTGTAGATAGATACATAAATACAAAATAATTATTAATAACATTTGCAGATGAAATAAAGATCATCAGACTGACAAATGCAGACATGAGAAGGCAGTCCTACAGTTATCTAGGTCACGTGTTGAGCTAAATGGATGTAAAAATGTTTGAATATGGCAATTATTCTGACAAGTAGGAACTAGGAATTCAGGCTAGATTTATAAAATGATAGACTGCATCCTGGAAAGGTGTTGAAACTAAACAAATTCCACTAGAGACAGGGTATAAATATAATAGAATAATCTAGAATAGATTTCTGAAGGCATAGCTGGGTTTTTAATGTCAGCCACTCAGGTCTCAGAAGATTCTTAATCGTACTCACGTTTTCGGCTCAGCAGTGGAGAATGTGGGTGAAATATAATGGACTGAGATACAGGGACAGAGGAAAACAAATGGCAGGTCATCAGTGCAATGAGCACTTGCTGTACAGGTCTTGTCATCTGTGTGTAGTAGAATAGATCATTGAATTTTGCCTCATGTTTTACTCTGGGTGCCCTGTGCTCTACACAAGTTCAGTCTTTTCTGAATTATAGGTGGTTCAGTGACCTCAGCTTAAACTCTGTGAATTTGTCCATAGCTGTCTAACCTCTTTAATGTTCACAATGAACTGTGTAGTCTCTTCTTTTCCCTTTTTGCTGCAGGCTAAACTCTTTCCAACTGCTGTCATTCGTTTTGGGTCTGAGGAGTGTAGAGGTGAGTGAATTTCCTCTCTTCTTCAGCTGATTGTATAGCTCCTATAGTAGACTCAGAAGAGTTACATCCTTATGTTGAGAGTTCTTCCAACAAAAGATAATGCAGTCCTCGACAAGGTTGGTAAATGTTCCCATTTCGAATGGCTGAAGCTCTTCAGAGCTAGCTTGGTCAGTTAGCTTGAGCAAAACCTAGTGCCTTTCTTACAAGATTTGTTAGGCTATGGAGTAGGCATTGTCTACTATGGGGACAAGAATGATGGAACGATGACTCTGTAGAAGGAAATTCTGTTGTTCAGAATGTTATCTAGACAAATGACTGTGAAATACTTTCACAGACCTCCTGTTGTAGTGGACTGGCTAGAGATGGGAGAATAGATCTGAGTCTTTGATTCTTTGATACCACTGGTTTATGCTTAGAATTTCTGTTTCTCCCAGAGATTATAGCATGCTCTGGTTTCACAGAAAAGTTTCTGAGATGCAGTGAGCACTAAAAGAAAATATCAAGATCTTGAGCTTTGAATGATGAAATAGAGTACCTCTGAGTTGTGAAAGAAACTGTCATAGTTTAAAAGTGTCCTGTGTCAGCTGGGGAAAGGTGATGGAGATTTACTGTAGTATACAGCAGGTATTTGTTGAGCCAAGAGCTACATGATTCTGTGGTGATCGATGTCTCTGTGTTACCAAACAAGTGTTTGGGTTTCATTTTTAAACAGATTGTTACCTGAAATCGGACCTGTTGAGCTCTGCGGTTTCCCCTTCTGCAGCTGATTTATTGGTAGCCAGGTATGTTGGAACTGAATACAGTTGCAAATGAGTGAGTATTTCAGGGATGAGAAGCACAAAACACGAAGAAATGTGCTCTGATGATACTAGAACTTTATTTTCTCCTGAAACAGTCACGCTGTCATACTTGACTTCATAGCTTTGTGAGTCCTTCTTTGCAAAGTAGGATTTCGGTGACTAAATGAAGTAAATCCTAGGGCTTTTATCTTGGAAAAGGGCCTTTTCAATCAGACTAGAAGTTTAAAGGTGGTAGCGGTACAAGAGGCGATCACAAAAAAATGAAGCTTAATTCTGTTTGCTTATTTTTTTCCTCAGACGTTTGTCCAAATCATTAGTTCCTTCTGCCTCATCGTCTTTAGAATCAACAGTTCCATCCGTATCTAAACCAGAAGTGGGAAGTGACAAAAAGACTGATGAGCAGCCAGAACCAGCAAGCAAGTGTGAAGCTCCACAGGTGTTGAGAAGGGCCCCTGGGAAAATACCCAAATGGCTGAAGCTGCCAGGTATCGTGAAGTCAGAGGAGAGCTCTTGTTCTCAGCTCCCCAGAAGGCACGTTCCTCTGCTAAAGCTGTTGGATGTTGACAGTATTAATGAAGATGCCAACATAAGGCTTGCAGAACATTTGGTTCAGTGCTTGTCAGTCACAAATCAGTTTGTGACTGACTTCCCCAGTGAAGGCTGAGGTTTATCTGAATGCAGGCTCTGGGCATTGTTGACGCTGATGTCTAATCCATATGATTCTTAACTATGTTCTGGGCTTAACGCGTTGAGTTCTTAACTATGCTAGTGTCGTTCAGACACTGACAGGCATGATACTCTGCGTACGAAGGGCCTATGTCACCTGTTTAAATCTCTGTTGTTATTTTTCCTTTGCTGGTATAGTCAGTTTTAGTACTTCCCTTTCTCTTTGTTTTTTTTTTTCTTTTGAGTTGGTCTTTCTGGTTTTAATCTTCACTGCAAAACAGTAGTGGTTTTCCATAGTTAAAACTGCAACTAAGTTTCCATAATGAATTTCTTCTTGGTTTATCCTGATCAGAAAACTACAACCTTCTTTTTAGTCCCAGAATCAATAACTTCTGTGTGGTTTTTAGATAAGAATTTATAGAATTTATATTTATTTATAATCCTTCTTTAGAAGAAGGATTCCTGAATTAAACAATTGGCAATACTCACTTTTTGATGCAGTGGTGAAGAGGAGGAGAGGAGAAAGAAGAAAAAGGAAAAAAAAGAAGACATTCAGTCAACCCCTTTAACGGCAATATAACTAGGAAGAATTATTTGGATTCCTTGGCAAATAATGCCAAATGTTAACTTCCTGAATGGGAATTTTAGTATTTGATTCTGGAAGATACTGTGGGGCCATCAGCTCCAGCAAGCATAGCATAAGGTGTGAAATGATTGCTGGAAGGCTGCGAACAGTGGGTTGGTGTGTTTCCCTGCTGTGGCGGGTCTGTTTCCCGTTTCCAGTATGTTTGAAGCATGCCACTTAAAAGTAGAACTTTCTTTCCCAAGCAAAAATTATCTGGCTAAAGTATAAAATAACATCTCACCTACCTGTGCAGGTTACCCATTAGCAGCTGGTATGAAAGGTTAATAACATGCTCTAACATGCATGTTGTTAACCCGTAGGATAAAGTTTCCTGCTCTGAGAATTATGATGTATTCACTATTCCATCTCCCTGAGAAGTGCTCCTGCGTGCTACCCAACTGTCGCCTGAGCACAGCAGCATATAGAGCCCTCAGCAACCAGATTGTGTTTTTGAGAAATGATACAGTGCAAATTACTGATTGTTTTAATGCTCTTTATGTTTATTTTGTAGGTGGGAAGAGATGAAGCGTTCTGGGCTCCTGGATCAGTGAGCAGTCACCTGTGCCTCTTTCCTGATGGACTTAGAATGTGTAATAAATTGTTGGTGGCCCTGGAAGAGATCTAATCAGTCTGAACATTAGTTATAAATAGAAAATTGCTGTTTCAGATGCCAGTTTCACCTTTTGGAGGAGTGGAAAGCCTGTTTGTGGTCTTCATGACTACAGAAGCAAGGTTAGAGGTTAAATTTAAGGTTTCTCGCATGCAAATAATATGAGGGGGAATAATATAAGGGGGAAATAATTCCTATCTGCTTTCTGTGACGGACTTTGTTTCTATCCATGTTTTTAAATTCAAATCTTCTCAGTTCTACCTTCAGAGATAACTTGAATCTAGCTGCCTGATCTCTAGTAGCAAGATAGAATCTGATTCAGTTTTACCTATAGTTAAGTGCTGCCTAGAACAAGACCTCTCTTCTTCTTGCTGGCTGGGGTTGGTGATGCTGATAATTCTGGGCATACATGGCTGGAAAGTGAGTGAAGAGGAAGCACTTAGGTCACTTAAAACAGTTTGAATAGGCTTTTCCTGTGAACTTCTTGGTCTGCTGCACTTGCATTGTTTTCAATTGCCAGAATCTTGTTAACAAAGAACACAGGTATCTGTTAATGGAATGGTGTGGAGTTTGTTCTGCCCCGAGCTCTGTGTTTTATTTTCACTACATGTAATTAACATCAGTAGTTACAGTTACAGTCAGGAAAAAAAACATCCAGTCAAAGGTTCTCTTCACATGACCTTGGATCTCTGGACTTCTGTGGTCCAAATGTTTCCACAGCAGAGTAGCCCTTCTCTGCAGTGCAGTTAGTGTACAGAGGGAAGCACTAGTTCAGATCTTTGCCTCCTGCAGATGTTATACAGGGAGGAATAGTGTTGGTTAGAATTGCGCCTATGCTAGAGATGAATTCTTTAGTGCCACAGTGGCCATGGTGCTGTATTTTATTTGAAGTCTTCTCCATGGATCAGCGATTCATGCTGGACAGCTGGGGCTCCATGTCATGGTAATAACATATTTTCCATTTGCCCTGTGTAGACAATTGTTGCCTGAACTACATGTGCATCTGCACAATTTGTACATGTAATAAAGCAGACTGGCCACGGGAGGCCTTTTTGTCGATCTCTTTGATAATGTGTTTCTTCCCCCAGTACTCAGTTTCTCTCTCAGTTCACAGGAACCTGCTCCCTTTTCAATGGGCCTGTCATGCCTCATTCCCTTCCTCCCGTTTTTTTTTCAACAAAGCAAAACAGAGCTTTGTACCATCTGAATGAACTTCAAAGTGGCTGGAAAGGGCACCCAGGGTTCCTGGCACTTGTCATTGTCTCCCAGCCCAGCCAACGTTTCCCTTCAGGTCTAATTACTTCCAAATGCTCCCAGATGCTTTGAAGAAACTCAGAGGGAGGGGGAGGCATGAAAGAAAGGTGGAAGAGGAAAAAGAAGACTCAAAGTGGAGGGAGCAGAATGCTTTTGCAAAAATGTTGATTGATTTCTTATATGACACCCAAACATAAACAAGGAATGTGTGCGGCCACTGGCAGTGGGGAATGCAAGAGCACTGTGTACAGCTGCTGCTCTAAATCCTTTCTGTGGAAAGCAAGCCCTTCTGGCACTTGACAAGCTATAGAAGACCTACTACAGGAAAACAAAAAAACATTAGAATAATGCTTAAAGTTTATTACTTTAGTGGATTAAGGGTGGGCTGAGCCTGTGCTCCATAGGACTAACTGTGTCTTGGTTCGGGTGCTGTCTCAGGCTTACTCATTTCACAGAAGTCAGAGGCAGACTGGCTGGAGCTGCTTTGCTGCAGGGGTCAACTGATAGCCACAGCTAATGATAGGTGGTGATATTCTTGTGCTGGTGTTTTTGACTCACAGGGTTAGAATAAACAGAAGCAGTCTGGTTGGTAGGAAGTACAGTGTGCTTTCAGATCTGCTAGTATTGTTTTTTTTGAAGAGCATAGGCAACATCAAGTAGTGCTGATTTGCTTAGCTAGTTTGATTCCACCAGTTTTGACAAAGAGAGAGTACCATAACTATCACCTGCAAGTACCTGATATGGGAAAACAGAAGGAAAAGTTTAGGGACACAAGCAGCAGTATCATTATTACTGGGGCAGTTTCATGGGTTAAATACAGGTGTGAGGATTAGGAGACTTCATATTGCTGACTCTGCATTACCTCAGCCAGTTTTGCCCATGCTTGGCCCTTGTGTAACTCAGCCATGCATCAAACCTAATTTAATCCACTTCTCTTTCAAGAGAGTGAAAAATTGGTGCCTTCAACAGCTAGACCAGAAGTCTTATTCCTCCCTATGCGAAGAAGAGTTAGCCTTAGCTGCTGCCGCTATTAAAATACTGCTTTTCTACTAACATTCACATCAGTGATCCTCTTCAGTCAAGAATGCTTGTGTATGGACCAGGTATGTTGGGGAAGTGAACTCGAGCCTTTTTAGGGCAGCAGCTTTGAGAGGTGCGTGTGTCACTAGAAGTCAGAATGGCAGGGGGGAGATGGATTTGAAATCTGGAAAAGGCAAGAAAGTAGGAGTGAATTCTTTAAGAGGGACAAGATGTCCTGGTTATTTAAGACTGCAGGCTCTTCACTAAGGAAGTTGCTACAAGGATTCCTACCCTGCCACAGAACAATACATGCAGGTACCTCATGAGCTGGACTTGTTTCAGTGTTATTTCTGCTATAGTAGCTAGACTCATCCGTGGGGTTTTGGGCATTCAAAGGTAGTATTACTTGCATCTTTTTGCTATTGCCTTTTTTACCATATGGTTGTGGAGCTGAAGGCTGAACTAGGTCAGTTCCTTCATTGGTTTCGTTGTACAGCTGCACAAACAGTTGTTTTGGCAAAGAGGCTGCAGTGCAGAGTGGGGGCACTGCTTAAGCTGGTACTGTCATCAGAATGTGTATTAAATGGTGGTTTTAGCTGAAGTTTCCAAGTGGCTGATGTCCTGAGTGATGACCTTGATAGCTCTTGGCTGAAAGAGTACAGTGACCTACTTGAGCCTTGGCCTGCTACAGCTGTCAATGGGGAAAAAATGGCTTGCTATTACTAATCGTAAAGACGACAGAAAGCCAACAACAGGGAGTGTGCAGTCCTTAAGACACGCTGGTGTCAGCTGCGTTTTGCGCAGCCAGCTATGTATTTCCCAACAAGGCCAGCTCAGTTGTGTGGGTCCTGCTACATGTGTAAGGTTTCTTATTTCACAGCTTCCCCCCGTGCCCCCCCCCCGCTGGCTGAGGGGCCAGGCTGTCCCGTGATGTGGGATTCTCACACATGCTGTTTGTTATTCTGTCCTTTTTCGTTTCGTCCTACAAAGATTTAGAGAAGAGGGTGGGTGAAGGGGGAAACTTTGCAAGTCTTTGAAGCAACTTGACTTTCGATGATGAATTGCAGCAAAGAGCTACACAAGGGAGGGAGACTCAGTTTTAATTTATTGATGTTTCTTTGTGAGAACAAATTTATAGCAGAGGGCAAGCAGCTTCTGAGGAGAATATCAAACGGTTAAAAGGTTCCAAGCATTCTTTGATGTCACAGCCCAGGAGAAATACTGGAAGGTAGTGAGGGACAGACACTGTTTATTTATAAAATAAAGATCAATTACCTGCTTTTGGCAAGAGCTGGTGACTGAGCTCCTGT